AAATCATATTTAGTTTATAAAGTAAAAAATTTTTGTTGGTAGTTTTTCACTTCTACTGCAAAACATCCATATAAAAAATATAAGTTTTAGTTTCTTCTTTAATTATTAATAATTATTTGATAAACTTTTTATTTTAAACCTATAATTAGTGTATCTATTAATACTAATTTCTATTATTTCTATAATTATTTAGTTTTAATTTGGCTAATTTTCAACAATTAAGATTTTACTATCGCTATTTTATTTACAAATTCTATTATTACTTTAAAATATCATATATTATATATAAAAATCAATTATAATTATTTTTCTAATGCATTAATAGTAATTTCTGTAGAATAGTATAGGTAATGTCATCAGATAAGATCATCGCAAATACGTGGTATAGGATTATTTAAGTCACTGAATATAGGACAAAAGATAAAGTTGTATATTGCCGATAAAAGGCGGTCTGATTTTAAATACGCGGTTATCTTGAAAACAAAGTATCTGAATTTTTAAATTCAGACAACCAATCATTTTAACTTTTTGAAAAAGCGATAGATGATTCGCCAAAGTAAGTGTTTTACGATACACAATAGTATAATGAGATCTGGCAAAGATCTAATGATCTTTTAAAAGTTATTATTTCTATATAAGGGATTATATATTAATGAACGGGTAGATATATCAAATGTACATCCTTCATTGAAATTTTACATTAAACAAATAATAAAAGAAATGTCAATAAGGTTCAATTATTATTGTCATACAAATATGCAATAATGATTTTATAATAAATTTGTTAATGTGCCATTTACGCCTCCATAACTCTCTTTCATCGAATAATTTGCCTTTTCCCGTAAAAAAAAAAAAAAAAAAAAAAAAAAATCATTTCAACATTTTAAAATACTCTAGCGGTAATAATGATATTTTCAAGACGTGATCCGTCTATTAACAAACATGATTAAATTTCAAATGATATCCAAACAAATTTCAACAAGTAATAGTAATTACAGCAAAGCAACTTTTCGTAATATCGTTAGTAAGCAATCCATTTGAGACTTGTTGACTTTGTCAAGAACTTGCCCAAGATACGTTGTTTTTTTTTTCTGGTGGTAAAATAAATATAAGATTTTTAATCTTTATTTGAAAGTGATGAGTATTTTTTCGTGTTCAGGTTTAGAAACGCTATTGATATGATAGTATTTTGTTTATATTTTACGTGATCTCAATTAGAATCGAGCGGAATAAAATTTTTAATGTTCTATGGTTTTATTTTTGTTACGATACAATCAATGTACAGTATGTGTTTTTTTTTCTTTTTGATGCTAATATAAATGTCTAATTAAAAATTAGGGGTAATTACATTATTACTAAGTAAAAGTCCTTTACCTTTTCGTATTATATATGATTGCAAGGTGAAATATGCTATGTAATTAATTTTCATTTCGTCATATAATGATGATATTATTATCGGCAAAGTCCCAAAAATTACCAAAAGTTTCCTCGTATGTAAGATGCAAATGCGCAAATTAAAAAGATATAATGCAATTATAATATTATATTATTAAGATAATTAATCGATTCTCAAATAATACTTTGGGAATAAACTATAATGAAAAAGATTGAATCGAATCAATTAAAAATGTGAAAATGGTATAACAAGTTATAAGAGAGAAAATAAAAGGTGGTAACATACCAATTTCTAAATAAGTCAATATTTCCAAACGCTTTCAACAAACCAAAACGTTTATATTTGGAACAGATCTCCAAGAACTCCACGGAAGGTTGAAAATTATGTTTCATCCATAAGTAAGAAACGAACCTTAAATTGGTGAAAGGTTGAGCCCTTAAAAATATTTCCCACACCTTGACGGAAAAACTACAATTAATTAATTCAAGGGTACGTAAATTGGCAGGCCTTGATTTCAATATTTGAAATAGGAAATTATCGCAATAATTAATATTAATTGGTGCTTCGGAAGGAATGGAAAAGAGGCATAACCTTTTAATATGCCTACAAGAATCGAATAAGGTGATCAGGGGAGGATTGATGACGGAAATGGGGATTGAACAATTCCTCATATGTGGACAAGAAATTATAATCGATTCAAATAATAATTGAACGTTAATCGGATCCAAGATTCTTGAACCCTCAACCACAACCTTTCTTAATTTAAAAGTATTTTGAATTAAATCTGCTATAAATTTTATTTCATATTTGTGATTATATTCGAATTCCAATTTCCTTAAATTACGAAGCGAAGGAGCCTTTACGGAACCTCGAACATTATAACAAGGGTCCTTATGAAGGCACCTTAGGGAAAGTTCCTCCAAATTTATAAAATCTCCCAAGAATTTTAAACAACCGCACGAACTTTCCAACTTAAGCTTGGTTATCAAGAAAGCTTTCTTTTGTAACTCTGATCCGACGCCAGGTGCCGTCCAATAGGTGATGCTGTTGATATTCACAAGGTAAAGTCTTTGTAATTCTTTTTGTACACTTATCAAATTCGCCAATGACATGGAATTTTGTTGTCCATAAATCATGATTCGAGAAATGTTTGTACTACTTGACGCAAGCTGATTATAAATTCTTTCCATGTCATGATCATCGACGCATTCTAATCCAGTTAGAAAGGAAAGACAATTATTTGTTGCACTAAGGTATATTAGGTCTGCATCAAACAAAGAAAATATGACCTCATTTCTCTTTGGTTTTATGCGAAGCAAACTTAGTTTAGGTGATCTTATCAAGAAGAGTGATAAAAGTTTTGAACAAATCAAGTGAATTTGAACTCTTATCCGATTCATCTCATTCTTTGACAATAAGGAATCATCCCGACCCGAAAATTTTTTGCCGAATTTCTTTATACATGAGACAGCCTTTTGAAAGGGATGATGTATCGAAGCCTTTTCATTATACTTGTAGTGAACCCAACCGGAACTTAACTTGTGAAGGTAATTAAGATCCAAACCCCTTAAATAAATTGGATAGTTAAAGCAAAGTTTAGTGGGGTAATCCGGAACATCAATTCCATGTTCTTTCAATTCGTTTATCGATTCTTGAGGGAGTGATGCCAAATATGTGTTAATTAAAGTCATCGATCGCGTCAGGTTTTGAGGGTAGGAATCATTTTCCAATCGGTAAAAGAATGTCCAAGGATCCCTCCATAAGATTGGAATCGTCAATCTGCACCAAATTCGATTGACCAAAAGGCATGAATGCAACGTTCGCTTATGATATCTAAGAGAGTGTAAAATTATTGTTAAAATATCTGTATTTATCGTTACGGGCATTTTTTATTTATAAAAAGTTGGTAAATTTCTTTGAAGTGAAAATTTTCAAACATGATAGTTTTCAAGAATTGCTTTTATATGCGCAATCGCATTACGTGCATTATATAGGCTTAGACCCAAATCTCGGGTGAAAATTTTCCTTTTTTTCGGTTGGTCAATGCACGTTATTAACGATCCACCTGCTAGCCTAAAGTTGACTAGTGCGAGCTTCAATGAAGCGTTGATATCGTACCATCGTATAACCACAACAAAAAAAAATTCAAAAGAACAATATAAAAATGCAAAGTTGTTTATTTTTCTTTTTTAAGAAAGTTTCTCTGCATAATATATATGTTTTCAATTAAAAAAAAAAAAAAAAATTGATGGATAATTCGGAATTTAAATATTTTTTTTTTGTTAAAAAAAAAAAAAACGGCCCAAT